CAGGCCTGTGGGGGGCAGTTTTGGGTGGGCCGGGTGTGCTGCAGGCAGGGGCTGCTGAGCAGAGGCAGGGGCTGCAGGAGATGGGAGGTTGCTGCCGTGCGGGCGCTCCAGGCCTCGAGTGGCTGGGCAAGTACTGTGCAGGGGGCAGGAGGGGGCCATGGGCAGGGACTACAGAGAGCAGGTGGACGAGTGGGTACCATGGGGGGGGGATAGTGGAGTGGTGTGAGCAGGCTTGGAGTTTAGATGCAGTTGCACCACCCCCCGACCCCTACAATCCTCGTTCGAGAGCGACTCCCCTACCAGAGCCCCCAATGCCTTCAACAGGGGCAAAGCTTCTAACGTGCTGCCTTCGCTGAGAAAGGGAGACAGTCCAGAGATATATATATATATCCAAATGCCTGCGGAGGGGCGGCACCTGACTCAACAGCTGTGACTGTGGGAGGGATCCAGGATCACACGTGTGAACCTGCAGTGTGTGTGCTGTAGCTGTCAGAAAGGCCAAAGCAGTCCTGGGCTGCCTCAACAGAGGGATATATCACTGAGACCACGGGGAGTGACAGCCACCATTTTACACACAGCGTTAGTGAGGCTGCCAGGAATGCTGCCTACAATTCTGGTCACGATGACAGAAAAAAGGTCCTCAGAAAGCATGGTCGGGAGGCTAGAGGAGCTAAATCACGTGATGAGTGGTGGAGGGAATTAGTTGCATCTAGCCCAGCAAAGAGGAGGTTGGCAGGGGGAGGGGGAACAATAACTGCCACAGAGAAGGGGGGGGGGATTGAATTATTCTTCAAAGCAGCACAGAGCAGGCCAAGAAGCAACGGGTGGAAGCCTTTTAAAGAGGGATCCAACAACCTACAAGTAAGTCACCTTCTGACAATTAGAACAAATTATCCATGGAATAGCTTGCTTCTATGGGTGCTTCATCACTGGAGTGTTTCAAAAATAGGCTGGAGGACCATTTGATTGGAACGGTGTAAACTCTCCTGCCTTGAGCAGCGGGTTGGACTAGATGACCCATGAGATCCCTTCCAACCTTGTTATTCTATATCCTATGAAATGAACCCACTATAGATTGGCATTTTAGACGTCAGCCAATTGAGAACGGAACCTTCAGTCTGAATCTCACACTGTACTACTCAGTACATAAAAAGAGAGAAGGAACAGCACTATTTTTTATATTTGGGAATAGCAAGAGAGCTAAAAAAAGGACCATGCCATCATCTTCCTACCAGCAGACAAAGGCCAGACTACAGTTATTCTGGACAAGTCACAATGTTTACAAAAAGCAAAAGAACTACTAGAAGACACTTTCATCCCAATAAACACTAACACAGTACAAAAACTAGACAACCTGATCAAGAGACCCTCCAGGGACCTCACTAAGGAAGGTCAAATTATGAAAGGGGGACAGTGGTGGATGAGAAGGATCCCTCCTCCCGTGTCTCTGGCGAGGCTCTAAAAGACACAAGCCTGAAGTACCTCTCCATCCAATCGTATCATTCCTGGGGACCCCACCGACAACATCGTAAAATATAATTGTAAGAAGAAGAAGTAAACACTCATCAACTCCCCACTACCTCAATCAGAGACCTGGCTGTGGATGAGGACAAAATCAGGGTCTCATGAGGTGTCAGAGCCCCTTTCTACAGATCCAGAATTAGCCAAAGAATCTTATGCTCCACACACAGCACACCCGACTTAACTAACTACACAAAGATCAAAACACCCAGGATTATGGCTCTCACAAACCTCTGCCTAAACACGTGTTTCAAATTTGATACACAAACGTACCAACAAATTAAAGGTACCAACCTCTGGCATCACTGCTTTCAGGACTTACAATGGAGGTTATTAGGCAAGAAGCCACAGCACTCTCACAGATACAATCCAAAACACTGATCAGATATGTAGATGACGCCTTCGCCATAATAAAAAAGACCAATTAGAAAGAGAAAATACAACTCACTACCCTTCCTGGCCATCCTGGCCATCAGCAAAAGCCACAATGGCAAACTAGAAACAGACGTGTACAGAAAAGCCACCCTCACCAAATGCGGCCAGGAGAAAACCGGACCGGGTGATCCCTTTGCTGGGGGGGGTGGGGTGGCAATAAAACCGCATCCAGCCCTCGTGGTGCCAAGGTCCTTCCGTCCAGTTCCCCGTTTCCCAAGGCCTGAGCTTGACACCCGCCTGCATCTCTGAGCTCCCCGACCCTCACGAGGGGTGGGGGGGGATCCGTAGGGCAGGTTTCGCTCCCCCCCTGACGGTTTTCTCACCCTCTGCTCCACAGATCACGACGAATGCGCCACGACCAACATGTGCCTGAACGGAATGTGCATCAATGAGGACGGGAGCTTCAAGTGCATCTGCAAGCTGGGCTTCGTGCTGGCCCCCAACGGGCGCTACTGCGTTGGTGGGTGTCCAATGGGTGGGGGGGCGACTCCAGGGTAAAATGGAGCTGGGACAGAAGGCGGCATAAATACGAATCTGTTGCCAAACAAAATTTTGATCAC